AACGTACGAAATCTTTGCTGCAACACTTTACAGCAGTAGTATAAGGAAACTTTTAAAAAGTACAAAATTCGGATGTTCTTTTTGAAGCGCTACGATCAGAATGGATATCAGGCGATAGTCAAAAGTGTCTGTTAATGAATTTCTTTTGCTATCACTCTTACATTAACCTATAATGTATATATTTATATATGTAATAGACCATAACATAAAGAAATAACTACCTTTAGCAACAACCACTCACTGAATACAAACTAAAAAGGATTTCACTCTTCTTGTTTTACTTTTGTTCATGCAGGCTTTTGTGTATAGTATATAAAATTTTAAGTTTACTTAGCTATAATTAAATTAACTCAAGAATAACTTATTCTGCTTCCAATCAGAGCCAATATACGTTGCTTAAATTCAATGTAGGGATGAGGATACTCCGGAGTTAAGAAATGAAAATCCTAATCTCATTCTGGACCTCGTTAACATAAAGGCCATTATACACTTCCTTAGACTGCAGACAACTACGGCCTGATCACAAGGATAGTAATACACTTTAAAAAAGTATCCTCCACCAACACTAATACATAACGGTGTATTCCTATATCGACGGACGCTTTTAAAACAATAAGTAATAATTCAATCTGTCTCTAAATAGCATACAATCAGTTTATGTATAACTTATATATCTATATGTATATACACATTCATACATAATTTTAAAATAAGTTAGAAACATCGTGCTGTTTATCCTTATCTGTAAATAAGATCCCATAAAAGCTAACTGTCAAAAAAAAATTGAAAAATGTAATGTTAGTTTGAGAATTATGAATTATGTTTTGTTTCGATCCTTTTCGGAAAAAGTAAAGAAATCTAAACAACCAACATAACAAATGTTACGTAGTATATCATACGTAAATACGTAACATATTAACTGGTAATTTTCAATGATTCTTAACAATTATACTGAAGAATTGTAAATTAATCTTATTATTTTATAATTTAATATTCCTTAAGGGTTGTTGCAACCCTTTTAGGTAATTTCAACCCTTAGAGTGGGTACATGATTCGAGCAAATATACGTTGAGTCGACTTAGTTGAGTGATTTAATTTTTTCTCAAGTGTTAACGGAATTTTATTAAATGAAGCCTATTTATGGGTTGTTTTAACCCCATAAAAAATACGTACATCATTTATTTTTTTATTTTTACGTACTTTTTGTGCCTTTCTTGAACTTCGGAAATTTTTTACAATTATAGTTCAAAATATCAGTTATAAATTATTTTCAAATTTTAGCACCGTTAAGGGCTGTTCAGCCTCTCTCCAGGGTGTTTACAATCCGGACCACTCTTCCTATATTCTACGTTAAATAAGCTGCAATCTCCAAATTAATCATGGCGATTGGTGATTTAGTTTTGGAGATATTTTTTTGACGAAAAAAAACACGTTTTATCGGTGTGACAGAATGAGTACGCCAAAAATTTCCGTAAAAAAAAAAAAAAAAAAACCGCTCCCACCGGGATTTAAACTGGCAAACCTTCTGGTTACTGCGCGAAAGCTTTACCACTGCACTAACGAAAGACTAAGGAAGTATTGAACTTATTGTCTATATTTGGTCTAGGTGTCTAACAATAATTTTCCGTAGGTGTTTACGACGTGATCATTGAAAAATTTACGATTTGAATTATTGTTATAAATATGTTTAACAATTGCGCAGCAAATTCCTAAAACATAAAAAGATTTAAAAAGCGTGTATTATTTACAATTTCTTAAATTTATTTACTATTTTTTAGCACAATACAAATACTTCTGATTTTATCAATAAACAAAACTTTTTTATAACTTAAAAAATATTATGCTTAAATTTAAAGATGCGTATAAGCTTTTTCCAACAGGGGTATTTGGTAACACCTGTAGCTTGTGTTAGTTCTGGACCTATGTAAGTTTCCGTCGGCCCTAGTAAAATAACTAGCAAAACATGTACGTTACATTGTATTTCTGTCCGTAAAATATGAATCTGCTTGTAAAAATGTCTAAAAAGGGGTACAATTTGTTTAAAATTCCATTGTGCAAAGAAATACAAAAATATGGGAACTTCGGTTTCAAACATTTTTTTTCCGACAATATAGCATATTTCAAAAGAAGAAGTCACTTTCAATTGTAAAATGCTTCTGAAAAAGTTATGAATATTTTAAATTCCGAAATCGCGTATTTCTCATGAACTTCAATTGTTAATAACTTCTTATAGTAGTGCTTGACAGAAAAGTTACAAGAGAACATTCATTCTTAAAATGGCTGATTGATTAGAAACTAAATTTAACGAAGCATAATGAACGTTTTTTGCCATTTTTTACAATAACAGTACTTTTTTTAAAACAAGTATGAAGAAAAATACTCATGTTTAAGAAATTATTTTTCTCTTGATTCTTTGAGCCATTTTATAAAGTAATATTTTCTTAAAACTTTTCTGTAAAACACTGCTATAAGAAATAATAAGAATCTAAGTTCATAAAAACAGTTCGGTTTCGGGATTTTAAAATTCATAAATTGTCTTAGAAGCATTTTACGAGAATATTGCAAAAGATCTTTTCTTTTCAAACTTCTCGAATTTAGTAGAAAAACAAAGTTTGGAACTAAAATTAGAATATTTTCATATTTGTTCAAGCAATGGCATTGAAGCAAATTGTACCACTGTTATTTCATACTCAAAAAAAAGTTTTCCCTTGAAGGGATCATTTTGCCCTGATCTCCTCTATACGTAAAACGATTGCATGAAAATTTAAAAATGCATCGTTTCTGCCACACGTCCGTGTCGTACACATTTTTTTTGTATTTAAGTGACCTTAAGAGGTTACTTTGAGAGTTATTTACCAAATTATGTAAAAAAATTGACAGAAATTAAATTTTGTGGTGGAAGACCTATACAACAAACCAGGTACCAAGTTACTAACCATGAATTTTTTACTTATTTTTTGACGGCTATCTTAGTATTGCCAGATGGAAATAGATATTTACTTATTTGGATTTCATAATAGGGAATGAAATTATTTTTAAATATCCTTGTGCAGGGGCCGATCGTTGCATCAAACCAACATCAGCTCCATCACCTTTCACGAAGCGGATCGGCCCTCGCACGTGCCACGACCGTATTTCTGTAAAATGGAAATGTAAACGAACAATCTCACTTTCGGTTACATACAAATGAACTTCTGGTCTTACTAGAAAACGTTGATCTTGCTACGAGGGTTAGGATGTGGTTCCAAAAAGATAGAGCACCCCCACATTATGCTAGAATTGTTAGATGATAAACGATGGATAGGAAGAGGTGGACATACAGAATGGCCAACGAGATTCCCAGATTTTACATTACCAGACTTTTAATTGTGGAAATATCTAAAAAATGTAGTTTATCGTCATAATAGAGTTGACATGATTCAAAGAATCACGGAAGCCTGTCATAATATTCCAACTTAGGTTTTGTTGAGCACAATTACAAATATTTCAAGAAGAACTGAACATTGCCAAGGCTACTTTTGAACATCTATTTCCCTAGGGTACAGCTACGTTTCTTTTCCAATCAGTTGTACATGATATTTTTGTTCCATCATTAACTGAACCTTTTAGTGTTGGCTTAATTATCTGAAAAAACTGTTATTCTTGCCTTGAATGGCTGAAAAACTTGTAGTCTTGCATTACCTGGTTGGCTTTTGTTGTGTTTTTAGATTTGTTTTTTAATACCGTACAGAAATAATACAGTCATTATAAAAAAAGTACCAAAATATGGTTTTAATATGCATAGTTGTGTAATTTTTTGTGACGTACTGTAGCTTCAATATTGTTTTTCTCTCTAATGTTTAGTACCGTTCGAGTGCATAACCAATAGATATTTTCGATCAACATTGAAAATTGCCAAATTTCAAGTCCTACTACGCTATAAATGGTTGTATGTAATTTTATTTTATTGACTTATGCAAAATTTTTTTCGAGAAAATAAAATTCATGAAAAATGATTGATATATAAGTCATTGGCGTATTAGTGGCGTTAATGAGGAGATAAATTGATTTTTAGTTTAAAATAGTTGGACCTTAGAATTCTCGTTCGAGGTCATTAAATAAAAATTTGCTAAATATCAATTTCGATGTAAAATCTGAAGATGTTTCTGAATCTGCGATTAAGAATAGGAGTATTTATATAAAAAAAGAATTTGACCTTTAAATGACCTTGAAGGATAAATTCAAGGTCAAACTTGACTCTACCATTCGATGTATTCCTTTGAACTTAGCAACTTTTGTAGAGGTAATTTTTGAATTGGTGTCTTATGAGGAGGTAAATTAATGCTTAGTTTGAAACAGTTCAACCTTAGAACTGTCATTCAAGGTCATTAAATAAAAATTTGCTAAGTATGTAATTCGACGTAAAATCTCAAGATGTATTTGAACCTGCGATAAAATATAGGAGTATCCATGTACAAGAAAAATTTGATCTTAAAATGACCTTGAAGGACAAATTCAAGGTCAAACTTGACTCCACCATTCAATGCTCTCCTTCGAACTTAGCACCTTATGTAGAAGTGATTTTTTGATTAGGGGGTTGTTCACAGACTTATCGCCTTGAATGTTTTAAAATGGGACGACCGGTATAATACTGCATGTTTATTGACAATGATAAAAAATTGTGAAATGAATAACCAATTTATTGTTGATAAAAATTTCTTAAATTTTTTAAATTTCAGCTCAAAAGTTAAAGTTTTATTGGTTTAAAAGAACATTGGTTGTAAGATGGCTAATTTCTTATTTACTCTTAAGGTTTTAGAACACCTAAAAAAATTATAGTTTAAAAAGCTCATGTAAAACAAAGTTTTGGCTGTCCTATTTTTGATTTAAAAAAACTTTAAAAAACATTTGATTAATTTTTCATTTAGTGTTAACTACACAGAATTTTCAAACAGTATAAATTGCATCGTTCATATGATCGACTTTACATGGAAATATTAGTAAACTTGTTTTTCTTTTACCTTGCAATATCAAAATCTTTTGATTTTATTAATACGTCTACATATTTTGACCAAATATCAGTTTTTTTTGGATATGATGATAATATATTTTCAAATAAAGTTTGTGCCTTTTCTTTTGAACCAAATTTACTTTCTAAAAGTGCAAACTTTACTGTAAATTCAATATCTGTAAGTAATAATATTATAATTATCAAACGGACATTAAAGTAAATAAATCTCAATAATAGATTTAACAACTTACATTTACTTTTTGGCAAACATTGTTTAGCTTTTTGCATAATGTTTCTAGCTTGATCACACATACCAATCTTAAAAAAAACTGTTTCGCAAATTATCCACACCTCGATGTCATGCTTGAATCTAAACAGCATTTTATTTGTGATATTTTCCAGTTCTGCAGTTCTACCTGCTTCGGCATGTACGATTAACATATGCTTATATATCATTTTAGTATTATTCATTTTGAGAGCGTTTTGAAAAACTTCATTTAAAGACTCTGGTGAGCCAAATTGTGATTCCAAATTTAATAAAGCTTTCCAAATATTCAATTTTTCACCTTCTTCACGCAAATTTATGTAGTTCAAAGCACGTCTTGCTACGGATCTAGCTTTGTCAACTTCAACCCCATGTAGATGATATGTCATGTATTGAATCCAAATAAAAGAACTATTTGGATTTGCCAAGACTAATCTTTCAAACTGATCTATGGATTGAGGTATTTGATAGTTCGATATTGCGTTTTGATTTTTACAAACTTCTTTCTCTTTTTTTTTTCTAGTTATACTTTTTTTGTTCAATTGTTCCTTTTTGATATAAAAATCGAGTTTAGTTTCATCTTCACTGTCACAAGAAAAACTATTTATTTCATAGTTAATTTTTTCTTTCAAATTATTCTCCCAGTTAAACCCACACTCTGAAATAACTAAAGAAGATTCATTATCAGTTTCTTCTTTTTTAACTCTAAAAACATTTTGATCGTTGTTCACTTGATTTGTTGTGCAACTTTCTTTCTCTTTTTTCATAAATATATCTTTTCGTAACTCGACTAAAACATTACATTTCGTAAGCTCTTTGATCGGATGTTGACTACTTTTTCCTCTCTTTAAATTTACATTCTCTTCATCATTATTTTTTAATTTCTTTACGACGTGACTTTCAGTGCATTCTAACTGAGATTTTCTTTTTAATAATAAGCTGTTGGGAGATTTTTTACAAACATAATTGTGTTTCTCAAATGCTGATTTTATTATACAAATAGGTATTGGAACACTATCATCTCTATTTACAATACCATAACATTTTACTTTACTTCCAACTTTATAAAGGGTAAGATCAGGTACAGTATCATTCAAGTTTCTTCTCGTCGGTAAAGCAACTAGAGAACCTTTTTTCTCATTTGTCAAAACGACCATGACAAACCAATCATTAATTAATACGATAACCCCTCTTAATTGGATACCTGTAGGAATTTGAGATAGTTTGTTTTGTATAGAATTTATTTTATGAAAAGAAAGTAGTAATGTTATTTCAATACATTCATGTGGATAGTTAATCCAAACAATCAGCCCTTCAACTTTGTCTCCTGGTTTATAACTCTTAGAAAAATTATCACGTTGAACTATCCCTTTTACATTGGTGTCAAGCTTTAATACAAGACCATTAAGCGTCGTAGTTTCTACAGTAGCTTTAATACGTTGACCTATAACAAATTTAGAAATAGGTCTATCGGCATAATAAATATTTCTCGATAAATCGGATATTTTACTTAAGTACATATTCAGTACATCAACAGCTGTCAAAATATCCAAATCGTGCTTTTTAAGTTCATTGCATATTTGGTTCAGTTGCGCTGTTAACTTTATCTCGTAAGTTTTTTTGTTAATATCTAAAATTTTGCACAATAATATTTTATTTTCATGAATGGATTCAAAGTTATCAATACTTTTTTTATAAATTTTACAAGATCCTGAAAAATTTTCAATCGGTACTAAAACGTTTAAAAAATCTTTATCGATAGTAACTACGGAGCACATAACTAATTTTCCTATTGCTAAATCACTTAACTTGTAGTAATTTTTGGGTGAAAAAGTTGTACTCAATATAAGTTGAGGTATTGTGGAAAATACGATTGCTGATAATTGATATCCAGCAATGGTTTTCATTGCTAATAATTTTCCAACTTTTTCACAAGGAGACATATGACTTGCAGGCAAAAAAGCTATTTCATCCTTACCCTCGATTGTAACCCGAATGTGTACACCATCTATCGAAGAATCAACGACAGTACCATCAACAATATCACCAACATTAACTTTTGAATACTCTTTCTTACCATTAAAAAGTGATAACAGTAGTATATTTTTATTGGTATCAATATTTTTTACTATAACTGAAACAGTTTGTCCCAGGGTAAGTTTAGACTTGCATGAAAGTAATCCAAAACTAGGAAAAGGTTTTAAAATCCAACCCTTCACATTACCAAAGAAATGAACAAGGACTCCTTTGTTTGTAATTTTTAAAACTGTACCATGATAAACTGAATTTAAACTAGCATTTTCTATTTTGTGTAATATAGGAAATTCACTATCAATGAGAGATTTTTTCAAAGTGAAAATAAGTTTTCCGGATGATTCAAGAACTCTTGCTGCGACACTCTGCCCCACCACTAACTTGACATGCGTTTCTGGATCTGACATATGGTAACGAGGAATGATTCCAACAGCTTTTCCTAAAAGAATATATATTTATTAATAAAAATAACATCAAAAAACTAATCATTACAAAGAATTATTTCAGTATAAAGCTAATGTCAGTAATGCACAGCTGCTAGATTGACGAGAATGTGGTTGGTCCGACGTTGATTAGTTTATGTTAGAAGTGTAAAAATGGTACTATTGAGAGCTAGCAACTATGTTATTTGGTACACTACTAACGTTAGCTTTGCAACATAAGAACTCTACTATGAAATGAGAAGGCACTAACCAACAGAAACTGTAATTAATTTGTTTATTTCATCTATATTAGTGATAGTTACATCAGCTTTATCTCCAGGATTAAAATTAACTTTTCTCAATAACGTTTCTTCAATAACGTTTTTTTCTATAGAACAGATGTACAGTTTTGAAATCAAATCATAAGATGTAATCTTACATTCATGTAAAGAACCAGTAGAAAAATTAGAAGCAATATTTTCGGATCCAATTTCAGTGTGTTTTGAAGGTATAAATCCATGTACGTTCTTCTTTAATTCTACAATAACACCTTTGCGGTCGTAAGTCAATACTTTAACATTCGAAATAGAACTACCTATTAATGATGAATAATTTTTTTGTTCATGCTTTTGAGATACTAAACTAAAAAAAGCAATTTTAAGAATCGGTAAAATATAAAGAAGTATTCCATCTAACTTCTGTCCGATCTTAAATAAATGTAATGGCTTATGTAAGTATAAGTAATTGACACAACCAATTCTGTTTCCATTAAAATGCACTTGAAGACCATTGTGTAAAATTTTTGTAACAATCAAACAAAATTTTGTACTAGGAATAAAATTATTCACAGATGATATTTTAAATTCCTTTCCTTCTTCATTATTAGATAAAGCTGATACATTTGTGATATAATGATTATCTACATTTTTTATATCGGTTATAACACATGTAATTTGTTTCCCAGGATACAAGGGATAGTTATGAACTACTTTGTCAAATGGTAAAAATGCCTGGAAATTATTTAAACCTGTTTCTAAATTACATCCATGATCTTCGACACTTTTAATACTTGTTGTTACCTTCGAAAGTACTTTCAAACTATTTAAATTTAAAGTTTGATTTATCAAACGGGGCTCTGTAGATAATAAAACTCTTTTTCGATGAGGATTTGATTCTTTCACATAACAAATTAAATAATCACCTTTTTTATACAAATCTGATAAAAGCGTTGATTTATTTAACAATTCCTTTTGAGTAATATTTTTCAATAATTTTGTGTAAGCCTCACTAATATTAAATATACTTAGTTGTCCGTTTATTTGACCTGGTAATGCTACAATAATGTGATAATCTGTGGTTTCGTATACTCGTCCCAAAATATTCATACCCTCCTGTAGAGTTGAATGTGTTAAATCAGTCGCACTACACAATGTTGTTACATCATTTTTATTTAATTCATCTTCTTTAGCCTCTGACTCCATTTTACTTTTATTATTTTTTTTAAGTTTTTTGACATTATGCTGAAATATAGTATTTTAAAATTTATGATATTTTTAAATTATTATCATAATACATTACTATATGTATGCAGAGTGAAGCAAAATATTTATCTTACTGTTTTCGGATTTGAATTTGGTATTTTAATACTTCCTCGGGGTAAGTTGCCCAACATGATCTGAAATTTTTAGAATTAATGTATTATAACAACTGCTATTCTTTTATGATCCTATAGCTATTTTTACTTTAAAATTGATACATTAAGAATAATTATACCGGTTGACAAGAAAAGTATTTTTCTACAATTTTTGTTGATTTTAAAGAGCTTTCGATTTTTTGTAAATAATGACAAGGTGACAAGAACAAATATTTTACATGGATTCGAAAGCATCAACAGGTAATAAAAGTAAGCACGAATATAATCAAATTTTCAGAGTAACTCGTACGGTCGCAGACTAGGAGTTCAAGACAATGTGACTCAATAAGTGAAATTGTTATGTCAAAGCCAGCTGAAATGAAACTACTATGGACACTGGTATTATTTTGTGATTTTAAATTGCAGTGCTGTGTCTGCAACGTTAATTAAAGCAACCATTTTCTGGCCACAATTAGAGAATATAGAATACACCTCTGTATGTACAGGAGGCTAAAGCGTCCAGTTTTTTGATGCTGAAAACTCACTCCCCCCCCCCAGCTGTAGTAGGCCACCATAAGGAAGGTGGGGTTAGCTCTGATGCAGCAGTTTCCAATATTACCATGAATGATCGTAATTACCAAGCGAACTGATGGTGTCCATATTAATTTTGAGAATAATGAGGAATACGCAGTTAAACAATAATATTCCATTGGAAAAGTAACGAAAACAATAGTTCTAAACTTAAATACACAAATTTTCAATAATTATCTCTAATTTTAACTTAAGCTCTCATTCCTGGTCAGACACTTTATACATGGCTCATAATGCACATGTCAGGAGCCTCATCAATGGCTACGTAGTTAAGACCGCAAAATTCGCTTTTGCGCTCATGCTTTCAATTCTGAAGGGCGATCTTTTTTTTATTTATTTATTTTTTTTGCAAGTATATCTTTTCATAAACATCTAAGTTTCTTATCATCATACTTTGTCATAATAAGGATAAAAAACCGTTTGAATTAAAAAAAAAAATTGATTTTATCGAATGATGCTACTGCTCTTCGCTAATGCCAATAAAAAAACTAATGCAAACATAGATTTGAAATTGTACTAATAAAATAAGTAAATTTATGTATAATAGGCATTACTCGATCGAATTCGACGAGAAGGTGGCAGTATTTTTCATCAGGGTAGGATACATATAGAATAAAGAACACATCAAATGTAAGGGGTAGTTAGTTCTTTATTATAAAGCTAGTTCTAATTGCCAGAAATAAATCCATACCAATCAATGCTGCAAAGAATTTAATAAATAATACTTACACATGTAATAACAACAATTCTCTATGTACATGGCTAATCTTTAGTTTCTTAAAAATCTTATATAGTAAAATGTGAATCTTTTATATTTACAAATAATACGCTCAATGAGATTTGAGTAACAAATTATGAAATCAAAAGAAATTATTATTAATAAATTAAAAAATTCTAGAATTAAACTACAATAAAAAGGGCAGTTTTTGTTGGTTTCTTAAGATAGTTTGAAATTTAATTTTTGAAGCTTAGCACACGGTATTAATGATTTTCATAAAGAGGTACGTACAATGCGCGCTTAACAGGAGTTAAGTAATAAAAGTCACTTTTTTCTAAATACAAAATATAATATAAATATATTTTTTTACTGGCATTAGCAAAGCTTAGATTTTAAAACGCAAATTTCTACTAAAACATATTTTTTATCCTCATTATAACAAAGTAAAATGTTACAAAATAATCTGATCAATAATCGCAAAAGCAAATCTTGTGGTCGTAACTACGTGGCCATTGATAAAGCTCTTGACATGTGCATTATTAGCCACATATAAAGTGTTTCACCAGAAATGAAAGCTCAAGTTAAAATTGAAGATAATTATTCAGAATTTGTGTGTTCAAGTTTAAAACTATTGTTTACGTTAATTTTCTAACGAAGTATCATGGTTTTACTGTGTATTCCTGATTATTCTATAAATTATTATGGACACGGTCAGTTCACCTGGTAATTACCGATCTTTCATGGTAACATTGGTAACTGCCGCATCGCAGCTAACACTACCTGTCTTATGGGTCCTACTACAGCTAGAGGACGTAAGTTTTCAGCATTAAGAAACTGGCCGCTTTGGCCTTTTATACATAAAAAGATAAATTCTATGTTCTCTGCCACAATAGTATAATAAATCGCAAGGACACCACAGCTGAAAGCACGCAAGCTTCAGATATTTTGGTTATATCATGACCTTTACCTCTGGAGATACAGTTAGGGAATATCGTCGATGTACTGGAAAAAATTATTCGGATGATAGGTAATATCATTATAGAATTGATAAGTCTGAAATACAAGCGAAATTTTTTGTTGATAAGAAATCCATTTTATGACTTTTAAATCAACAAGATTAACAATCTACAATTACTTGTCAAGGATTATTTATGAATATAATTATCTGATTATCTGTTTTAAACTGCTTAACTGGACAATTCATAGAATTTGGAAATCTGGAACAAAACTTTTTCTGAGTTTACCTACATAGCCGTTTTTTCATTTAGCTTCAGTAATATACTTTTGAATATTTTGTTGTGTGTGCAAATCTAACGTAAAACTTATCATTGGAAGAATGTAATTCTGATGCTTGTTTATTAACGTTCAAAAATAATTGACTATTGCAAAAATAATGTTTTAGGGTTAATTTGGTTTTTTACATGCAGAGGGTACGTGAGAATTGTAAATTTGTACGTTTTATTAGTGTGCAGAAAAGTTATTTCATAAATACTTAAGTCATTTTTTAAATACTTAATAACTCACGTTCTATTTAATTTTAAGAGCTGAAATTTTAACACAAGGTAGATATGGTAACTCTTAACATACGCACCAAGTTTTAGTAAGATCACTTGTTATAATATGTAAAGCAACTAAAAAGTAAAGATTATTATTACACGCATAATTCTTCCATCGTTCAATAATAAAAAGAATACGATAACAAGAAAAAAAAATAACACATATTTTTACTGATCAAAAAATTAAAAACAAAAAAAATGTCTTTTTTCAAACAATAGTTAATATACTAATTACTGTTAATAATTAGATTAGTTACTTCAATGATATTTGATTGTTCTGATCAATATCCAACAATACTGGCAAGTTCAAAAAAGGAAAAGCAGGAATGGTAGGTAATAAAAATCTATTAATTTCAATTTAATAGGTCCTCTTTTTATTTGCAGGAGGTAATAAATATGCGCAATCGTAATGTTATTACAAACTACCTCAATTAAAACAAAAAAAATTATCCATTTATCTCATTTGGTTACCGAGATATCATTAGACTTTTTAGGCACCTTTTCGTTTTGAACGCGCTCGGTCAAAACCTCCGGAGCATGCATCGGGGAAAGTGGGCGCGGCCTCCAGCGGCAGCTCGCCAAGCCGCGATTCTACTAGCCTGCGAGCAAAAAGACCGTTTTTTGCGATCGATATTTAAGATACTTGTAATCGATAAAAATAAACGGCGTTTCAGGAACTTGTAAAGTAAATACAGACAAAGAGAAATACGTTTGAAAAATGTACCTATGTTGGCTAACAACTTTTTAATGGCCATTTTTTTAAAGGACCTTTTTTTGATTTTCACTGCGGTTCGCGAGAAGTTTGCAACTGATCTTGCTAAAACTTGGTGCGTATGTTAAGAGTTATCATATCTACCTTGTGTTAAAATTTCAGCTTTTAAAATTATATGGAACGTGAGTTATTAGGTATTTAAAAAATGACTCAAAATGGCAGTTTTTTGCGATTCACGAAAAAACGGCTCAACCGATTGAAACTCAACGTGGCTCACTTTGTTCGTATTAAAATTGCGCATCTTTTTTACACAACACTTTTTTTTGTACAATTCTTTGGTTGTGTTCTAGACGCGAAAAACATGTTTTGGCCATTTTTGCCATTTTTTGGGGCTTTTCTGACATGTCTACTTGTTAAATGCTATGTTGATTTGTTACCATGTATTCAAACTATTACTAAATTTTTTTCGAGTTAGTCAGAATTTTGTAAATATCGATAAGATTTTAAGCTAATTCTACCACACTAACTAATCAAAATTACGGATATAACAGAACATGCTAAAGCTGTTTCAACAGCGCCACCAGTAGTGTTTCTGGCAGTAGAAAAAACAAAACGGTAATATGTCTGATTGTTTTTTCAGTGCTTATCTACCTTAATCACTGTCATTACACAAAGACTGATGTACGCAGAAGTGCATAAGATTGATGTAAGCAACGAATATATTTTATAAAATTATTTCACTATAAATTATTCTATCAAAGAAATTTTGTAAAATAAAACCCTTTAACGATAGTTTCAGAATTTGAGAAAAAAGTCAAGCATGTGAGTAAGAAAGTAAGGCCTACAAAGTGACGCACCATTTGATCTACTTATCTGGCTTGTGCGTTGAGCTATTCTTATCGTACTGTGGAAACATCACAGTCGAGCTGCTGCCGTGGACTTGTGATGTTCACAGTTAATTGTTAGCTGATCCAATGTCGTAGTCAGGAGATGGTTTCCTAATGAGTACGCAATGTGAGGACCAAAAACAGCAAAAGAATCGCTTTTTTTCTCGGTGTACCAAAACTGTAGATAAAATACGAATTTGAGGTCTCCAAACAAACATTTTTATACAACAATCTGGAATTTAATTCTTATCTTGAAGTTTTCAAACTTGGCCTAGTTGAAGATTTTTAGTTATCTCACATTTCAGCTTACGTAAAAATTATAAATATTCAAAAATATTTGTCTAGTCGTATCAAAAATTTTTTTTAATAATCCAAGCTGCTACAATAGACAATAATTAAGCATCAC